CGAAGACACATCGACCACTTGGCTTCCCGAACGCTTTCATCAACTGGCGTCATTTCGTCTCTCTGGTTCCGGTGAAGAATAAGTTTGATTTTTTGATTTTTTTGCGCTTTGAAGATTGTTTATCCGAGCTTAAGACCTCTAAGTAACTAGTGAGCTAGTTACAACGGCGAGGTTATATGGTCACTTATTATTCGTCAACTTTATTGATGAAGAAACCACTGAGTGAAATATTGCTGCAAGTTAATCTAGGAAAGTAAAGTTCTCTCGACTGAGATGAGAATACTATGTGATTAATAACATTAGATAGGGACTAACATCATGCTTGGCATAGACTAAGCCACATCTGGAGTGTACTCATCAACTAACTTCATATTGCTTCATTACATAGAATAGGAATTGTCAATAAATGTATCTTACTTGTGACTTCAAGATAACCAATAAGAAGGATCCACTATCGTTACCAGTTGGACAGTAAACTACTGAAGCTGGAGAGATGACGGCTTATTTCTTAATTTTTTTTGTTTAATAACTCTTAGATTAAATTAACACTTTCGTAAAATTGTTTTAAAAATATAACCGATGATCTTGACTAAATTGTAAAGTAATAAAATTCTTCGCTGTATGGAGAATGTATATCAGATATCTATTCAGTCAATTTGTGCGCGAGAAGAAATTGCAGTTTACTAGATGACAGCCCACCCCTTTCGATCCCCACACGAAATGGAACTTAGAAACCATCTGCGAGAGGCCTATCAACTAAATAGATCTTTTTTTCATCTAAAGCTCAATTCATGAATATCACATTAGGATCCACTTACTGTGTAAAGACCCTTATTGATAAAATGACTCTGTCGTGAATTCGTCCAGTAACTAGATGAAACTGATTTAAGTCTGACCTACATCTAATGTCTGCTTTGAGTACTCTAGACAAACTAGAAAAGAAAAACACAATAGAAACCATATTCTGGTACGAAATTCAACTTGTTTTCAGTAGCACATACTACATATTAGTTTCATTGTGCATTAAACATCAATCTGAATGGGCGGTTTACGATAAAATTTCCTTGATTTTTTTATATATACAAGTCAACTATAAAAAATAAATAAAAAACCTACTTGAAAAACTTAATTTAAGTCAGTTCTAAGCCTTCATCTATATTCAGGACGGAAAATATATCCGTGAAGATTCCCATTGATTACTGCACAAATTCAGTAGTATAAATTACTCAAATATTCTATATGTATTCTGATCTCATCCTAAACATCCTTTTTTTCTACTTAGATTTGATCAATCATGCTATTAGCATACGCAAATGATTTTTTTCATTCATCGTTTTACAATCGAAATTATGAGCTTGTAGCATTCTCCAGATATAAATATAACTATTAGGGAAACAAATAATCAGTGACCTTGAAGATGATAAATTAAAACTCTCTGTTTAACAGAATGATCAGTCACAAAAATTTAGTATTTACTAGCTGATAACAGTTATTCACTTAAGCAATACCTAATTATTACTTCTGGGAGTACATTGATTGCGATTTAGTGTTCTCTGAACTGTGACATTTTGTTATGAACTTTACACCACCATACAGTGACTTCCTCAGCAGTATTTTCATAAAGAAGTAAAGCATATTCATATGTTACACGAGTGTTTCGTTGGTGTTTTTTTTACCTTGAGTGTTGTCCACTTGGAAATTAGGGAAACGATTTTTGTCAGCCCTTAACCTCATTAACCTTGCATTTCATTCGGTCACGCTGTTCTGAGCTCAGAGAATACCAAACCTTCATTATCCTCACCCTGAGAATAAAATCTTTTCTACCATGAGAACGTTTTATTTATATCTATATGTCATCACTCTTGGAGACTTGGGAATGAGTAGGTAGTGAACGGCAGTACTTGGCCAAAACAGTTATGTAGTAACTATTGTGTATTGGGCAGTATGAGGCAATCGAAAGGAATCCCTGAACATAAACTTTATACTTTTTGGCACTTAGTAGCTTAGCACTTTCTCAGAAACTCGAACTCGTATCACTCATTGCTGAAGTCAGAGTCGTTAACCCTGAGATTTGCAGTGAGATTACATCACTTCCACCACTTCATGATGATGCCTTTCAACCAGTCAACATCAGTCAAAGTGTGAAGCAATGGCAGCGAAACTGATCGATTTAATTCAACCGACGCTTGGAGCAATCTCTCATCGCCAGTCATTGTAAGACCTTACATTTCGTAAGAAATTACCATGGAGTAGTCACAAATTTAACGGTAAATCAAACTATTTGGTGACCAACTGTTTTGTTGTGATTTGAAAACATCTTTTCACTATGAGCTGAGTGCAACTGGGGAACAAATAAGAAATGGGAAACCACAGAATGGCTATCTCTAAATGAAATCTTTATGAGGGCAACTAAATCCATTTATAAATCACGGCACAATCCTCTACATTTTTCCTATCTAGCCATGTTCGCAACACAATGATGACATCATAAAATGTCATCATTGCGCATCCATCTTCACCTAAGGTGTTGCTGATCATTGAATCCACCGTTTCTAAACAGATATTTCTAAATTTCATCCGAACAACAGACTCCGGTAAACAAGAATACAATCTTTTGAAACTTATCAAATAGGGAATACTTTCCATGTAGGGCCAAGATCACTAGTAAAATCAGTGAAAACCAGTTGGAATACGCCCATAAGGATATGAAAGAACAAGTATTTCAGTGATGAGTCCTTTTCTGACGATTTGATTTAAAAACACATACAATCACCAATATTCTAATGTAAGTATTTGATAGTTGAAAATGGTTTGTCAAACATATAAACATAGTGTCAACAAGTGAGCTGTCATTGAAATCAAAGACCAAAAACTGATGAGTAATGAATATTGACCAAAACAAGTTTGGACAAGAAGTTTGGTGACATGACAATATAACTGGAAAGTGAATTGTGACCAGACAGAGTATAACAACAAGAATAAATAGCAAGTTACTTAAGAAGCCGATGGTGTCAAGATAGAAAAATGAAAAGAAAAAAGAAGGCGGTAGAGGAGACTGAAAACTAAGACCATAAAAGAAGAAGGGGTTGGACAATCTTTTTTTGCGTGCACACTTCAGGTTTCTCCATATGGATGGCAAGAGCTTGGACGATACAGAGAAAATGACATGTAGCCTATGGAAGGTTTCTTGAGTACGTATGTAAGAAATCATCAATTATGAAAATTGATTGATTGAAGAAACAATACATGAAAATGCTATTCTACTGCACTCATGAAATCATCAATTAGTATTCTCGACTAGCAAATCGTCATGACAAACACGCACACACACACACAGAGGTGCAAATTAGGATTGATTTTGGGTGTAACCGATTAGTTAAACTTTCTCACTTGTCCTAATTATAATTATTTTCCCTTATGTTCCTAGTAGAACACAGAGCTTCAGTAGCACGCCTCCATTGCACTCTCTTCCCTCCAGTTTTTTGAACCTTGCTCCATGACTACCCACAAGTTTTCATTCCTTCCTTACACCATCTCCTCAATGTCACTCTCAGCTGGGACGTTCAGCTTGTCGTTTCCCCTTTGGATTCCACTTGAGGGCCTGGCCTGACGCTTGATGTCACCAATCGGACTTCTCAGTGTATGTCCTATCCAGTCCATCTCCACTTTCTGATTTTGCATATTCATTGGGTGATAGGTGCTTGCTTCGCCGGTTCTTTCCCAGAGTTCCTTGTTGCTTATTCTTATTATTCTGACCATCTGATCTTCAGTATCGAGTGAGCGTTCAGTCTTGTGGCACGTTTCAGCCACGGGACCTAGAAACCATCTGTCTGACCCCTGGTGAATTCATGAATGCGCACAGCTGATGAATGCTATACGAGTACGAAACAGCTGTTTAGTTCTCCCAAATGTCATTGGTCCCCCAACTAATACTAGTCCTTTGATCAAAACCAACTTGAAGTCGAGAATTTGACCGAAATGTCAGATAAATGATTGATTCAATGCAGTCATGTCTTCTTATCTCAATATAAGTAAAAATAACTCAAAGGAAGAAAGAAAGAGACAGTAGCCGATCAACTACAGATCAGACTGTCTGAAATCACCGGTCTAGTAATTCAAGTCACCAGTCTCTTAATGCAAGTCAATTAACCGTCTAACTAAAGCATATTTTTCAACTTTGGAGGGCATAATGTAACTTATAAAAGTTGACCGTCTGACCCAATGAAGCGTAAATCCACGTCAATGCCTCCATAGAATGGAGTGAAATAATGCCTTTTCAAATGGCCACTGACTATCGCAATAAAGCAGAAGGAAATAGCTTCTGTATATGCTCAGAAATTCCTTAATGCACCTTTCATTGCTTCTCAACAACAATGATATATCCAGAGGTAAGAGTACATTCCAATTGACTTTGACATTTAAATATTGTATACACTAAAGTGCAATGTTGAGCTTTTTAGCTTCGTGATCACAAAGTAAACGTCGATTGACAGAATTTCATCAACACTGAAACATAAACAACAGTTCATCTATATGTTATTGAAAACTACAATGATCACTTTAAGACATGCTAAGAAAGCCTTAACTTGGACTGTAAATTCGTACTAGATAGCAGCATAATTTAGCCTATTATCTTCATCCTATTTGAGACTCATCAACTGAATTTACCTTATGCTTCTCATTGAGAGGTGTTCTCTATTTCGTAAACGGTTGTGAGTTACCAACGGCGTTTAGTTACTGAAACTGTACGAACCTGAGTTTGAAGAAATTAATAACCATTGCTAAATAAGATAGTACAATCTACCTGATTTTGACTATTATCAGTGTTGAAATAATATGTAGGTTCAATAGAAGATCATATCGAAGTTTCTAAACAAGGAATCTATAATGCTAAAATAGGTAATAGTAATGTCAATCTTGAAATTCAATGATGAAAGATTCTTAACTGTAACAGTTCTAACCTTTACTCTGTATCTTGGTTTTTTTTTTTCAAAACATAGGTGTTTCGGCTCAACTGAACTTCATCAACTATCTATTGAACAAAAGGAGACAATAATAATCATGTTAAATATGAGTGATTTAAATGAATCTATACGAGCTAATTGTACAGCTCGTTATTTATTAAATGAATCATCAATTGATCCAATCTCTATATTTGATCGTCATCCACAATGTGAATTACAAAGAAAATTTATGCCGAATTTTTTATATGTTGTTAGAACATTTATGTTAGCTTGGTTAATTACTGGTTTATTCGGTAACTTTTTCTCATTTATTATTTGGATATCAAAAGAGCAAAGAAGAAAGAATAGTTCAGCAATTTATTTATCTGCATTATCTTTAACCGATTTTATACTTATACTTTTATTATTAAATTATGATTTAGAAAGATATTGGTGTGTTCGTGGTGTAACAATAATCCCGGGTATTTGTCAAATATTTCAATGTTTATTCATTTTTACACAATATTATTCAATTGTACTTGTATTCGGTTTTACACTTGAAAGATATTTAGCTGTATGCTTCCCATTTAAACGGCATAAATTATGTACAACACAAAGAGCTATATTAGCAGTTATTATTTTAGCTTTATTTATTATTGGACCAATGTTATCACAAGCAGTATTATGGACATTTGAAAAAGGTGAATGTCGTATGCGTATCAATATTGCTATGGATAATAGATTTCAAACATTATTATTTGTACAAGAAGTATTATTCTCATTGGTTATCCCATTAGCGACCTTGATATTCAATATTTTAGTGCTATGTGAAATGAGAAGATTGATTAAATCAAGTAATTTATTAAAAATATCGAAACATCATTCTCATACTACTATGAATAATAATAATAATAGTGATATTGATGGTAACAGTTACAATACATGCCAAAGTTTATTTCATAAACGAATCAGTTGTAAGAATTTGTTTAAATCACGTAGATCAACTCTTATGAATGTTAATATATTCCCTGATAGGAATGGTAGAAGAGGCAGTGATAATAATACGAATTATAATCGTAATGAATCCATAGGAACCATTAAATTAAGTCCAATTAGAACATCAAATATTAATTCAATTGAACAAACATATTCAAAAGAATCTTCACAATTTGTTTCAGCTACATTAATGTTAATTATATTATCTTTTTATTTAATTGCATGTACTGTACCAACTGGAATTGTTTATCTTATTCAATTTCGATGGTTACAACCAGATGATTGTTTAAATGATGAAATGATTTTAAAATCTGATGAATGGAATACTTTTTTTCAACGTATTGCTACAAAAGGTTTAATTGATGCATTATGTGCATCACATTATGCATGTAATTTTTTTATTTACTTTCTTACTTGTACAAGTTTTAGAAAAAAAGCTCTATATATATTAAAGTGTAAATTCACTACATTACCATATCAATCAGATTATGTTACAGAGACATTAATTTTATCTAGGCGTACTGCTCCAAGATCATTACGTCCATTATCAGATAATAATGATAATAAAGGTGAACAGATTGATAATAAGTCATTGCTAATTTATAATAATTCAAAATGAATATAATTGAATTGTTCAATATTTAATAACTATTTTATTTTTTACACTAATACTTTATTTATATTAGTTACGGTTGTAAACTGTAGAATTTACGAAGCACAACACATTTTGCATCATCTATGGGTTTACTTATTATGTTTATGTTTTTGTTGGGATTTATCTCCATCATTGAACAAAAGGAATAGTTAACTGGATTCCTGTAATCATTATTCCTATCATTATTGATGTGTTCACTATGAATTATTTATTTCTAAGAAGGCTGAGCTTGTTATTTGTTTTATTTCTGCCTTTATTGTTTGTGAATATGTGTATGGTCAGTGTACAAAAAAAGTTTCTGTTTTTTTTTTCGCCTAAATTTCATTTATGTAAATCAATTATCATATTCATTTGTTAAAAATAAAAAATATACTACGATCTGTGATGTTTTCAATCTTGAAGATTAATAGTATAATCGCTTGTTTTATATCATACTGTCGTTGATTGGACCGAATTGATCGGCCTCTACTGGTATATAGGATCCTGTGCGGATGCCTTGATATTACCGGTGCTCTAATGGTAGTAATGATGGATAGTGGCTAGCAGTGAGATTCAGGATGCACATTTCGTCTTATTTGGGACTCATCAGCTGGATGTACTTGCTTCCCGGTGAGTGATGTTGTTCCCATCGGGATTCGGACTCAGGGTGATCACTTCAAACGCCAGAGAGTTATCCACACAACACAACCGAGCCACGATAGCCACTTCTTGTGCGACGGGTATAGTTTTTAGTTTTGTTTTGTTTCTTTTGTGTTTTTTTCCCACTGCTAGCCACTATCCATCATTACTACCATTAGAGCACTGGTAATATCGAGACATACGCACAGGATCCCACATGCCAATAGAGACCGATCAATTCAGTCCAATCAACGACGGTATGATATAAAAAAATTCAACTAAAAACTGTACCCGTCGCACAAAAAGTGGCTATCGCGGCTCGGTGGTGTAATGGACAACGCTCTGGAGTTTAAAGCGATCACTCCTGAGTCCGAATCCCGATGGGAACAACATCACTCACCGGGAAGCAAGTACATCCAGCCGACGAGTCCCAAATAGGATGAAATACACACCCTGAATTCCACCGCTGGCCACTATCCATCACTGAAGATTAGTAAGTTGAAAACCTTTTCAATAGTAACTATGCTGCTCATAAGTAACTAAAATAATAATTTCTAAAATGATCGACGATAAAATAATGGATATTCAGGCAGTAACGAGGCATCTCCGTAGGATCCAATCTCCCAACAGAGATCGAGCGGTTCGATCCAGTATTATTACGATCATCATTCACAGTAATCAGTAAACTCCAATCCTGATTGCTTCCTTGAACATTTACATATAACCTAACCAATGATATGAAAAAAATAATCCCTCATATTTCACGAAAATTAAGACATCAGTGATATTCATTGTATCGTGATCCCCGTGCTGAGTCATTTGATTGCGGAGCTTTCATCGTCTTTCTAGACGACATCATCAGCACTAACTTCACTAGGAAGTTAGCCGTCAATATCTCTCCGTGAGTAATTCAGTAGCTTGCCCTAATGAACTGGTTTTTAATTGGTTGTTTCCTTTGATTGTTGTTTCATTGACTGTACAGATTTTCTTGTTGGCTGTTCCTTTGTCTCATCTCTGGCCTTGTGGCTGTTTCTCATCTTTCTTCTTGGTTCATAGATTGAGTCAATGTCTATACATTTATTGACAGCTTAATGATGTAAATTTCAAGCTTCTAGGAATTCTGTGATATTCTTTATAGTTCCTCCGTGTCTGAGGTTTTTTCTTTGTCATAACAAGCTACTAAATTACTTCTCTTCGATATACTTGTAATTGTTTGTTGTTTTATCCTGGATATAATTGTATGACCTCTGTCGACATATGAGCTCCTACGCGGATGCCTCGATATTGTCTGAATATTTATTATGGTAATTTACTTGGTTGCAGCTAGCAGAGAAGACAAGGACGCGCGTTTCGTCCTATTTTGAACTTGTCAGCTAGATGTACTCGTCGTACAAGAGGTGGCTATCGTGCCTCAGTAGCCTACTGGATATCACCCTGGCATTTATAGTGATGGGTATGGGGTCCGGGTCCTAGTGGAAACAACATCAATCACTGGGGTGTAGGCACATCGAGCTGACGAGTTCCAAATAGAACAAAAGGCGTATCCTGGATTCTTCTGCTAGCCATAACTGAATAAATTACCAAGCTAATGAATCACCCACGCAAAGATATTGACAGTCTACTTCATACTGAAGTTTTTGTTGATATTGTCGCCTAGAAAGACAACACAGTTCAGAAAACACAATATATAATTAAGGTCATCCACCTGAGCTACAAATATTCTCCATCATTTCAAAATCAGTGACAATTCAGAAAACTAACTACAATGATTTTTAGAATTACTGAGATTAAAAGTGCTAGTCAGGGAATCCTAACTCAACCATTTACTGTAAGACAATAATATGGTTTATTCACTTTCAAAAAACGTAATCAGATTTCACCTTTGAAAACAGATAAAACTAAATTTTCATATATTTTCTAGTCAATATGAGTCAGACTGACATATAACACACCGTAGGTATGATTTTCGAGACTTATACAACACACACAAATGTTAGATACCTCCAGTGAAGGCTGTCATGAATGAGTTAGTTTTCTAGGTTGTCATTTTAATAACTTCTGATACTATTAACTTGGAAGTTCTCATTCTAAACCTCTTTGTCAGCATTCACCTTTGACCTATTCAGTAGATTCGCCTAATACATATTAAAAATTGTTGTTGAAACATTCTGTTGACTGAACCGTTGAATAGCTAATTGCCATCCATTTTCAGCTGAACAAGTTTGACACTGAACAGTCATAGTAAATTCTAATATTTCAACTCTAAAGTACCATACAACATGTTCATAACTTAGTGGTATGGCTTCATTTAAACATCTCCCAGTTATATGCCTGATATTCAATATGTTTTTTGGTATATCAGACATTAAAGTGAGTAACTGTCGTCACCACCATCAGGCTTACCTCCACTGGTCACGACTTCTCATTGGAACTTCAGGAATACCTCTCGAAGTTAGTCACCAATGAGCACCAGTCCAATTGAATTTTGAGGGAATTGTAAGGATTTGGAAATATTTCAAGTTGTTATTCATCGTAGACTGACATCAGTTGGAGGAACAATGGAAACCTGGGAGCAATGGACAGCTGTTCAGTCCTAGTATGGGACTCCCCAGCAGTGCGCACCCACGACCCCGCCATCCAGGGATCGAACCCCGTGACCTTCAGGTTCCGTGGCCAGCACGTTATCATTGAGCCATTGGATCAGCATCCAATGGTCCATATTTACAACTTCTGTTAGCTCACAATATAGCCCAAAACATAGCTCAAATGTATTACTATAATTCAAAGTAGAGGTAATGTTATTGAATTTAATAACCACAGTAAAACAAATATAATTATCAAAAGTAGATTTAAACAAAAAGAATGTCTGTCCAATTTCTGTCAACTCTTAATGTTATCATAGATTCAAAGGATCTTCCGTCAAGTTAATGTAATTTCAATAAATGCTCATGGTATACTACTGATAAACACAAATAACTACTGCGGATGCAGATGACAAAATACAGTTTCAAAAGGAAGAAATCTTTCATGCGTTGAGTTTGCCAACGTTAACTTCCGAAACGATATAAAGTAAACGAGGGAAATAACAATTTCCTCACATATACACATAAGCCCAGGCATAGATTCACAAATAAGTATATGTACGCACGTACGAATGTACTTACACACACACACACACACACACACACACACACACACACACAAGACACTATATAGCGACAAATGGATGCATGAATTATCAAGAGAGACTGACCGGAAAAGGAGATCAAAGAGTACTAAAGGCACGCGGCTGTTCAGAATATGGTTATAAAATGACTTTTATCACATTGCTTTTATACTTTATGACTGACCTATGGATTAATTACTGAAATAATTGCAAGTAAAGGTAGGATTCATGATAGAAGCACTTTATAGCTCCATGTACATCTAAGAAGTCATACAAGTTCAACTCATTCTTACTGATGAAGTCTTTTACATCCCAAGATCCATAGTTTAGACAAACTGTATACTATCAACTTGTCAGTATCGAAGTTTCCATAATTAACATAATCTCATCAAGCTAGAATGAACCAGAATAAAAGATACAGGAATGAAGAAGAATATGATCAGAATGGTAGAAAGTCGTAAATGAAACAATAATGAAATTCGATTTGACTGACTAAGCTGAAATTAATGTCCGACACATCTACACCACTGAAGTTGCCTATGAGCTATATCAACTGGAGTTTCCAGCCACCACCGGTTATCAGACAGAGCTCGACCAGGAAGTCAACATTTTCCTGTGTGGTTCAAAACAGTCAAAGACTTCAGTGATTCATGCCATGTTTTAGTCTGGCTACCCCTAATCCTTGTCCAGCTGCTCAGTGCTAACTGAGCAACTAGGTAAATAGTGACTGGACATGCCCAAAACATGTCATAGTCACCTGAGTGAATGAGGGTTAGTAATCCCATCAAATGAATTTTCTCTTTTCTCAACAACTCATATCTAAGTTACTAGTGTGGTTGAACTGTGCTACATAACTTATGCTATTAAATCAATGGTGATCGAATATCTGAAACCTTTTCATATCTTTAACCCACAATGACCAGACTGTAGCTCAGTGTATTCAGAACTTAGTAGGTAATTGAATTTCACGGTGGCGCCATAAATGATATAATTTGTCGAAGCATAAGTAAGGATTTCCTATCCCTGCAGAGACTTTTCCGGTCACTTACTTATAACAGAGTTAATCTGACCATCTAAGTAAGTGAAATGGTGAAGGAGCTCAACCACTTCCCTCTCCAGCCGACTAGTAATAAAACAACAGTTTTCATTCGGGTGGCAAGAAACGCCTTACAAACATTTCAGATTGCCTTTCTGCATCTTCTCATTATCTTCAATTAACATAATTATGTCATTTATGTACTCTAGGTTGACTAAAGATTCCCCTAAGATAAGTTCAGTCACTGCAAAATCAGTCGAGGAGAGCGGAATCATCTTAACGCACACCAATAGATGTATACAAGTGACCTGATAACTTAGCATGGACTATGACGTGCTCAAAAGTGTACGCTTATATAGTCTTCAACAGAGTGACGTGCATATTCGGCACATTCAGGCAATATCGAGGCATTCGCATAGGAGCCTATATGCCACTAGAGGTCGAACAATTCGATCCAACAAAACAACGGAGAATAACAAGTATGTCAGTAAATAATAATAGTCTCAGATTGTATTCCAAGTTAGTTACCGTAGTAGTTATATCAACGATATGCGATCA